CCGCTTTTTGTAACTTATGGTGCAACAGCAACATAAGAATCAAACATTCCAGAAGGTCATTCCTGGTTCATAACAGATTAACCACTGAAGTATTGGGCTGTTTTATTAAATAAAATACCACCTGGAACATGATATATAAATAACATCTCCTTTGAACTGAACTGAGCTCCTGATGACTTCATGGGCAAATCTATGTTTTGTTCTTAGCACCAGTAAGAAGTGGTTTGCCATTGTCTTCTTCAGAGGTGTTTTTCAACTTCCCAATAAACCTAGAGATTCCTGGTAGTTTCCCATCCATGTTCTAACCAATCAAGCACAACTTAGCATTTCAAGATCAGCCAAAGTCAGCTAGGTGCTGCCATCTAGCTGGATATAAAACATAACAGAACAGAAAACATAATGTATTGTAAAACTGAGATAGGTTCTATTAGATATTTCAGTGTCTCATCTATATTTCCTTTGTATTAATATGGCGATTCTTCAGAGTTATCTAAATTACTGTGAATGGAAACATACACCATCAGACTTTTCTTTGTCATTCAATCCATAGGAGTAAGTAGAAGTCATTGACAGAGTATATGAATGTACTTCTTGGAAAAGCCATGTGACCACAAGTATTTCAGAGGAAAAACGGCACATGGTACAGTTGCTATGAAAACAAAGAAAAAGCCAAGAGTTCTAGCTGTCTCACACGTTTTCAAAAGTGAGTTGGATTTTCTTCTGAGGAAGGACAAACAGAATAATGAACGCTAGTTGCCTTTCATTTCTGCCAGAATTTAACCATCCATGGATCTGCTGGTAATAAAAAATTGAAACCTATCCTCAGCAGGACTCATAGCAAAATCCTTTTACATCTCTATTTCTGAGGAGGAAACAAATCAGATGTCATATATGTAGTCTTGCTGGATCATGACTGAATTATAAATTTGTACAAAAACTATGGGAAAAATAAAAGTGAGGACCCAGGACAAATTTCTTTAAAAGTTGGGGGGTTACATGTTTTGTTTCTAATATTAAAGTTCTAAACAGTTGGAGGCAAATTCTACCCGAAAAAGTACACAATTGCCTTCCTGTTTAATGTGTTGAAGAAGAACTGGTTAATAATGCTTTCATGCATCAAGACTCACATTGATAGCAGTATTCTCAGTCCCAGCCCCACTGAGCCTGCAACCTCTTGAGAAAATAGTTTCCAGAACTGCCTAGGCCAATGACTAAAATTGTAGCTCCTCAAAGCTCTTGAGGCTGGAACAAAATCACTTTGTAGATGGTGAATGAGGATTAATATTGCAAGGTTCAGTGGCAGCAGGCCTTGTAAACGATAATTGATTCATTTTTGGAAACAAGTCCTTTCCCAGAAGGCCGTGAGAAAAGGACTATATGAGGAAACCAGGAGCCACCCATTCTGTAACCTTTACAGCATGTGTTCATGTTCAGAGACGGGTCCCTTGTTCCACAGGGATACCTATAAATTACACACAGGAGTCTGTGTAGACGTGTATGGAGACATATGGAGACCTTGTGTTCCCAAATCATTCTTTCCCCTCCCCCTTGTAATTTACGGTGATTCCCTTGTTGCTGTCTTGTCTGGCTATTAATTTACCAGAGGGAGTATTCTCTTGATTTATTTGTTATGAAACCTGAATAGAAGCTTATTAGAAGCTATTTGGATTTTTTTTAAGTGATGTTCATTTGAAAGAGTGAAGTAAGGTTAAAGAGCTTAACACACTGCCAGTTACAAACACATTCTCCCCAGTTCAAGGGGAGATACAGCAAATCAACTCTACCAACTGCATTTAACATCAAAGAGATAGGTGACTGTGATGGTGCGATGTAGTCTTTCCTATAATATCAAGAGTAAGACATTCTAAAGTGCAGTCCTCTGCACATTTACTAAAAATTTTCTCTGCATTCAATGGACAGCAGTCCTCAATACGTGTGTTTAGGCTTGCTGTCTAACAGTAGCATTAGACATTTAGGACTTTGAGAGCATTGTGGATTTTACCACTTAAAAGGAACCAATTTGGGGAGAGTATGAATGTTGGAGCAAACAAGGGAGTCTTGTGGCATTAATAAAATTATAGTGGAGTTTTACTTCTTCGGCTCTACAAAACCACCTTTTGTAATTTCACCCTTGGCTTTCATTTATGATTCTATATTTTATTTTCCCTTTTTATTTTAAGTTGTTCTGAATATACGTTGTGTCAGGAGGAAGGGAGATATGATTTAGTTTGTTGTCTGAAATGTATATAGGTTTGCAGCTTAGGCCTACAACATTAATAATGAAATTCAGTTTCAGAAACTGGTCTTCAAATGTTGGTTGCCTCCAGTATCAGCTTCTCTAGCTAGCATGGGAAATCTTCAAAAAGGATAGGAGTCTTAGTGCAACATCTGAAGGGCCACAGGACTCCTACCTTTCTAAGTTAGGAATCAACTATAGGATGTCTGCTAGAACTCCCAAGACGTGCTTCTGCAAACCCCAAATTCTCATGACATTTCGGCAATTTTGTGTGGAAATGCTAAAATTCTGCTTGATACCTCGAGAAATATTTCAGTAAATGGAGGGTGGATGTGACATACAATGGCACCCAGGATCAGAAAAGATTGAAAACTCCTGCTGTAGTGCACTTCATAATCTTAGACATATATCTAGGATAAATCCTATTAGAGGACACACACACACACGTCCTGAAGGATGGCAATGGGAAACCACAGTATATTGCTTTGAAGAAAATAACATAATTTTGTCCATGAAGTCACCAGGAGCCAAGGTCAACTCGAGGAAGGCATATGATGATGATGAGAGAGGAGGAATATAATTATTTGTTACTTTTGCCCATGGAAATAAGAAGCATATTTTGTTCTTAGAGGATATATACATTTTAGAAGAGGCATTCTTCCTATGTGAAGCAGGGAAATGCCATTTTTAAGAATATGTTTGCAATCTGTAACATTTATTAGTTTTTTTTTTTTTAATCCTTCTCAATTAAGCTCAATTTAATTGTCCAGGAAACATAGAACTTTGGATCTACTAACCAACATGTCACCTTTTTCTCAAATGGACATGTTACTGGGAAGCATTTCCACCCCACAGTGAGGCCTTCAACAGGGGACTTTTCTCCTTGTGAGATTGTGGGATCCAATAGCCCTCAGCTGCCGTTCCTGAAAGTTTAAGATTACTTGCTTAAAATGTCTTTACAGTACCAATCTGCGCACGTGTAATCCAAACCAATCTGCATTGTGTTAAAAGAAAGTTATAATTGTCATTTTAAGTGTTTAACAGACTCACGTTGCAGACTTAATTTGCAGCAAGAGAAGACGGCTTTGTATTTTGTCAGCACACTGGTTCAGTATTGCTTACACTACAGTTTCTCGCTTTCCAATACTTTCCTCACCTTTGCATATAATGTCCAATACTTTCCTAACTTTGCATATAAACAAGTGCTGGGCTGCTAAACTGCTAAACTTTTGCTCTTGCCTTCAGAAGAGAAGTAAACTTAGTAATGTTCTTGTTGCCCAAAGAAAAAAGGATTGGATTTGCACATGTGACCACTAATGAGTGATAACACAGATTTTAGATTATGGTTTATGGACCTCAGGAAATTCCTACTGTAGTTAGAGCATGATGGCACTTCATGGGTGTGATGTACAAACAAATACTTGGGGAAGGGAAAAAAAGAAAATCAGGATTGGAAACTCAGCAACTAGAAAGGGAGATGTTAAGTTCCCTCAGTATCCCTGTGCTGTTGTCCCCAGGTTGTTGCTTACCTCAGAAGAGAAGTTAGTCTTACACAATATACCCATAAATGTACATTTTTAAGACGTAGTATGGGTCTCTTAAGCATATCTGTACCTTTCTCAAAGCTGATACCCTCTATATCCCTCATCCAAAGGCAGCAACAATGAAAGTCTTGATGATGGGAACTGCAGTCCAATACATTTTAGGAGGCCAGATTAAGGAAGCCTGCCTGAAGGTTTCCTAGTGGCTGCTACCCTAGCTGTTAAAAGAAAAGCAACAGATTTATGATTTGTGAGAACATACATTATACACCTAGCTCACTGGTGCATATAGGATACATTTATTTCACATGAATGCAGAAAGCCTGCCTTTCATTGGCAACCACAAAGATTAGTGGTTTCAGGTTGGACAATTAATTTCAGCTTTTATTTTCCAAATAGTTTCATTTCCCTTTAGTCTTTTTTTTAATGAATGAAAAAAATAGACAATTTATTAAAAGCAAGTAAAGAATAGTGGGCTAATAAAAACAACAATATATCGTAAGAAAGATTAAGGATATTCAACATAAATGAACAGAGAATATGCATAAGGTTTTTTTTTAAAGAAACAGCAATAGTGGGTAGAAGCAAACTTGAAAAAAAATATGTATAGGGATTGGAAGCCAAGCAAATCAATTAGTCATTGCTGACATAAATTTCCCTTTCTTGGGGACGTTTAAACTCCTCATATCCCATGGATGAACTCTGCAGCACCTGCAGTCTATTTCTTTTCAGTAAGGAGATGATAACTACTGTAGATGGTTTTCCAACAAAAATACAATGTTGACAGAATAATGTGTGCAAGAAAAGGGGCTACTTTGTGACTGCTATAAATTGCAGGGGCTGTATTCCCCTTGCAGAATGCCCCACGCAACAAGTTGTGCGTTTGTCGAAGCTCTCCATATGGCTTGAAGTGAATGCCGCTCCCTCCCCAACACGATGAAAACTAACCATGTGGCATTCATGTACAGGATCGTATTTTTCACCCTTCCTCCCACAAGGAATGCTAATCCATTAGAGGTACCCTGGACTAGAATTTAGGAATGTGCCAGATACAGTATTTTCCAGTAGGAAAACATTAGTGATTCAAGGAGTACCCAGGGGATTACAATGTTGCAGTGGGGAGTCATTTAGAATAGAGGATTTAAGGGCCGGTTCACAAAGGAGCCAGGAAAGCAGATGGTAGAGTGGTAATTCAAATGCTCCTCTCTATGGAAAGTGTTGTATACTCTAAAGTGTTGTGACCCAGTTTGAAATCTTGATTTACCCGTGAAAAACATTGGAGAAGTTTGGGCCAACTGCACTATTCTCTGAGTGACTATGAATATAGTCAGAGGATGAACTAGATATGGCACCATGAACGTCTTGCAATAGTTGAGGGTGGGTTAATAAATATACGAGCTCAACCAGCACTGCAGTGTTCCCTGCAAACAAGAATGAACACGAGACATTGGTAGGGTTGACATGTATACTGCTGCACGTGTATTTTTGCATAGATGCCAGACAGGTACAAGGCTGACACTTCCCATCCTCTAGATTTCTGCAGCCTCAACATACTGGTCCTCAGTGACTCCAGAAGCTGTCTTGGTAAACTATATTATCCAGTGGGAGGAGTCAACCCAGAGATACAGGTCATGCATATCTGCCAACCTCATGGGATAAACCAGATAGGAGTCATAACTAGATGAGATAATTCTATTTTATTGTAAAACTATATTGACAGTGTCTTGCAAGTCTGAAAGTACATTTCTCCCCCCTCCCCCCACATCTCATTTATAGCCTCAGAAACTAGTGAGGATCTCTTCTGAGCCTCTTGCCCCACCTACTATTCATCTGTGGGCTATGCTGTCTCTTATCTGACCGTTCCCTAGGCAGCATCTCTTCGCCCTGTCTCCCAAGGTCCTTCCCACATACCATTACAGTATACTGCATTGAAACTGACTCAGTTTCAAGTGATGAAGAGGGGATGTTCAGCAATTTGCCCATGAGTGTGCTCAAGGGAGTCTTGTTGTCCTCCTTCCATGGGACACCATGGACATCCATGGCATTTTGTGCAGTGCCTGACTTAACAGGCTACATCAATCAACACAACCCAGCTCAGACTTTGGGGTACTCTTGGGCAAATTGTCAGTAAGCCCCCTTCTTTTCCTTAAGCCATAATGTCTTTCTCCTTCCGCCTACTTGCTGTAGCCTATATGCTCAGGTCAGAGCAGGGAAGCCACAGTGATAGCAAGAAATACATGCCCCCTGGCTGTGCATGCTGGCTATGAGTCCCTAGGCAGACATTCTAGGGGCCTTGTGAGACATTCCGTGAGGCCGACGTCTGACATTGTCCATGTATAACACACAGGCCAAGGAAGAGAAGAGGAAAAGGGGCAGGCACATCCATCCACCCATCCACTTACCAAGCAGCAATAAGTTCTATAAAGCCCTTTGGTTTGTGGTAAGAGGCATCAGCAGTAGGCGTCTTCACTGAGGCTGCAAATTAACACTTGGCAGAAGGCTCACTGGCAAGTGTTAACGCAGTCCTGTTTATACAATCATTTATGCTGATGCATTCAGGGCTAAACTGGAGGCTTGAACAAGAGCCAATACTTCCGAAGCAAAGGCAGCGATTCTTGACTTAGCGCTCTTTTCTGCCGGCATAAACAATCATGTGAACAATAGCAGAATTATTATCCTGTATATAGACTGTGGCTGGTCTTGTTGTCATTTCTAGAGTGTGAAATGTTTGGGGGATGATTTGGGAAAGTGTTTTATCGTTTTAAGGGGGGGGGATGGAGGCTTCTTATGCTTTTTTTCCCGTTCTGCTTCTTAATTTTAAAATTTTATTAAGGCACTGGTTTAAAAATCCATGGCTTTGCTTGAGTGGCAGAAACAGTAGAACCTTGGAAATCATCTGCAGAATTTTTCTTTTTTAGAAAGCTTCATGACAATCTGTATCTTCGATCGTATCCCAGATCAGGCATCACAAGATATGCAATCACCCAACTTGCATCAACAGAATCTATTCCAGATTCCACAATTCCAGTGACCTTTTAATAAACCAATAAACTGGCATTAGCTTTTTCTCAACAATAGCCAGAATTTCTCCTCTCCTCCCACCATAATAGGATCAGGTGTGAATACCTGATGGGGTTGCTTTTTAATTCAAGTACCAGCTCCAGAAATGCTGCCCTCCTGGCTGGATTCTATGAGCCATGTCAGATACTGACCTTCCAACAAGTTTATTTTCTGCCTGTGTAAACTCAGCCCTCCTTACTACCCTGGAGAAGCTGAAAAGCAAACACGGCTTTGGTTCATAGTTAGTGGTAAAGCTTCATTACCGATGGTGCAAAGCCAGGTGGGCTGTTTAAACGGGTGGAAGTGGGAGGAGAATCCCTTTTGTAAATGCCCATTTGTGGATTTTATTTTATTTTTTTGGCCAGAAAATTTATGTGTCTGCCACAAGCTTGCACTATAGTCCTGCACTTTTCTCTTCCTTCAAATAGTTCCTGCTTAGCACTTGCTGTACAGGTCTGTGACCTTTTTTCCCCCAAACTTTTCTTTTACGAGTTTATTTTGGCTGCTCCTAGGCATTCATAAAATTCCTAGGGAACTGGAGGTCTTAAGCAAGGCTTGTAAAAGCAAAGGGAGGAGGGGGGGCAGGGAGAGAAGGTTTTCCATTATCATGTCGCAGCCTCCCTAATGGGAGCCTTACACCTTTCAAATCTTTTCTGAAGCACCAGGCCTCTGAAAAAGAACGGGACAGAATGTAAATCTCCTGGAATGGCCTCTATTTCTCACTCGATGCAGCTAGTCCAGACTATTCTATAGGCGGAGAAGTCTCTCCCTTGTCAGTCATTCTTCTGGAGCTTTTGGTCCTCTCAGCAGGTCAACAGAGTTGGTGAACAGCTCAGAAAGCACAGGGCATCTGAAACAAATTAGATCTGTTATAGCCACCCAGAGACCGATGATGGATGGAGGTCTGTATTTACAGCAAAACTAATTGGCAACATACACAGACATCCCCCCTCCAAGAAAAAAAAAAAAAGTATATTATTTTGCCAGACTTCAGAGCCACTGGGACAGTTTTATAATTGTAGAACATTACACTGTTTGAGATTTAAAAGAGAAAAGAAAATGAACAGTGAAAGTTTTCGATCTAATAAAAGCATTTGACTGGAGAGTTAGAAATAACAGGGAGCAAGGAGGCTGAACTGGAAATAAGTTCTGTTCATGTACTTTTCTTGGCAAAAAAAAAAAGTTTCCAATTATAAAACAGCTCAAAAAGTGCTGCCTTCGTAAAGGTTCTTCCATACTTCTCGATTAGAGAAGTGGAGGGTTTTCTGTGTCCTCCCCCCCGCCCAAAGTAGGTTAGATAGAGAGAAATCACAAGAACCACTGTGGTGAAGTGATTAGGATGTTGGACCAGCACTGAGATCCAGGACGGAGTCTGCTCTCAGCCATGGAAATAAGTGTCTGGGTAACTTTGGGCCAGTTGCCCTCTCAGCCCAACCTACCTCACAGGATTGTTGTAGTGAAAAATAGAAGGGGGATTTATTTATTTATTTGTTAAATGTATAGGCTACCCATCTCGTATACATGACTGCTAGATGCTAGATATGTTGCTTTGTGCTCCCATATGAAATATGGGATATAAATCTAACCAGTAAAATAACATGGGGAAGGGGAAGCAATGATAGCTGTCAAAACATAATTTAACATAATTTATACCTAGCACATATATGCCACTGAATTTATGCCCAGCAAAATCTAGAACAAAAATGTTGACGCAGAAGCTACCGATGTTTAATAATAGCTTTTTCTGGGCTCGTAATAGATTAGATACAATGAACAAATGCAAAGAGAGCCACTGTGACTTGTGCATTGCTGTCAGGAAAAGTGGAAGAACAAAACAATTATAATAAACCATCGCTCACTGGATGTTGCACTGGAAAATGAGAGTTCGCTCGTGGCACGTTTGTGTACTGTAACTGAAATAAACCGTGGGCAGATTGGAAAGTGAACGCAGGAAGAAACACACCCTGAGGGAGAGGTGCCCAACCAATTCCTCCTGTGCCATTTCGGCTTCATGTCTTACAAGGAGGAAGAGGGAACATGGAGTACCATTAAGTTGTACTTTCAATTCCTCACAGTAACAGTCAAGGCTATTCTACTACAGCATTCATGGAGACAGCGGTGGATTGGTAACGTTGCCATCTAATTTTTACCTATATTCTTGAAACAACCTTTCTCCTGTCTCTGTTTCTTTTCCTTTCTTTTTTTTTTAAGCGTTGGTAAATCTGTAGCACCCATTCTTTAGCTTTATGGAATAATATCACTACTGAAGTCAATTAATGTTAAATCACTTAAATACAAGCCACTCTTGTTCATGGTTTTTGTTTGCTTCTTTAAAGATCAGGCTGATTATCTTCCATTTCCTCACTCTGAAAAGCCCAATAGCAGTTTGCCCTGGGATACACAGAGTGGAGACAGAAAACGCAATACAAAAGACAATGTCCTCAGTCAACGACAAAATATTATTATATATAGTAGAGGCTTTACTTAAATCATCCATAGTTCCCCGTTACTGCTTTTATTTTGGTGGGAGCGAATAAGGCATTGCCATTTAAATGACCCCCAACAAAGCTTCATATAACCCATTATCAATTTAAACACAATTATCTTAGAGGGAAATGGTTCATAGATTTAGATGAGAATCACACGCTAAATAATTAACTGAAGGATCAAATGATGAACCATGCATGTGTGAATCTGCTATGCAATTAGAATTTCAAATACTTCTAGAATAGTGGTTTGTGTGCAGTTTGGCAAGCAATTAATTAGCCAGGCTAATTAAATCTATCGCTATCTCTCCTGTAATTCCAAAAACAGAGTGCAATTACTTAAACTGTGTTTGGCTTGTGGACTGCAAGTTGTACACACCAGGCATAGGTTTATTTTTCAATAGAAATAAATAAATGATAAAAATAGATAAATGAATAAATGAATAACTAGCTCCAGGTTTACTTTTCCTTTTTTTCTTTTTTACAGAATAAAGATATAAGTATTTATACAAGAAAACACATAGTAAATATGAAGACTAGCAAAAACACAATAATTAAAACACAGAACATCATGTCTGGATTCTATCCTGAATTTATCACTCCAAAAGCTGATAGATAATGACCATGTTTGTATAAATCTATTATCTGAATTGCCTTGATTTCCAGCAAAATAAGACCTTTTAATTTACTTTAAAAGATTTTCTAGGGATACACTCAGTATTAATGCTTAATACTTGTTTAAAGTAATATTTGCTGACTCATTCTTGTCAGCATGAATCAGTCTTACAAGAACCTGCAGAGTGCTATTGCCATACTTGCAAGGACGTTTTGAACATTCCCACCAACACAAAATTTTTTACAGATATTAGAGAGTAAATTCCAAAGTAAAATTCCTGCTTATGCGTTATGGTTAATGCTATTCTTGCTTTTTGATTAATCTGTTTTTTTTTCCTGGATCTGGGAAACTGTGTCTTGTATAAACAACTCTCAGAAAGCACTGGAGTATGTGAGCACTTAGTTCTGCTGAAAACACAATCATTGTGTTATTCCAAGTTGATGAAAACACCCTTTGCAGTTTTGCCTCGTAAGATCCACACGCCAATCAGCGTTTGTCAGTGATATAATTTTCTCCCATAAACATAACCTTTGTACAACTTCCACTCAGAGTAAATAGACATAATTCCCAAACTAAATAACGCACGTTGAAGGGAAATGGAGATTACAGGAGGAGGAGGGGGAAGAGAAAAGTTAAACGAGAATAGCTCTAATTGCAATTGCACGGGCCTTTGGAGTAGAAGAACCTTCTTCAAGGGAATCAGGCCATGGAAGGGAGAGCTGGTTTATTTCTTCACACTGTAAAGAAACTGGTTAAGGCAAATATTTGGAAGAAATGTTTTTTGGCTTGTTGATGGTTGGAGACCACCACGAATTGCTGAAAGATGGATTCAGGCTGTTTATTGGACAAGGAAAACATTTGTGTTGGTGACCTATCTAGAAGGAAGTGGACAACATGCATTATTGTTTCCTTTTCTTTATGCTTTTTGCCCAAAGAACTAAATGCCCCTAAGTTTTCTTCTTTTTCTCTTCCAAACAGGATGTTGGTAACTGCAGGAGAATACTACCAAATGCAAGATAAAGGAAGGAAGGGAGGGAGGGAGGAAGGAAGGAAGGAAGGAAACCTCCGTTTAATCCATTACTCAAGGCTAATTTTATGTTTTTAAATCTCAGTTTGTTCCCCACCAGCAGCTATCAGCTTTAGCAGTCTTGATTTCTTTCATTTAAAGCTCATAGACATTTTTTAAAAGAAAAGTGAGTTTCCCTATAATATTGTTGTTATCATTTCACATTCTTGGGTCCTTGCAATACCATATAAACCTCTGACAAGAGTGTTCAGTTTGGCATATCAGTGGCAACTTTTTACAATATACATAGAATATACATGCAGGACAATCACATGCTACAAAAATACTGTGGATGCAAACTTGTTTTCCAGGCCTATCAAGGATGCTTGTTCTGAAGACTGCAATAATGTTTGAGAAAAGCATTACATTTTTTACACTTTAAAAACAGCATCCTCAGTAGGCACTGTTATTTTGAGGAAAAAGAAGCTGTAGGGCTCCGATGCAGAACACACTTCTGATTGGACCAGAATATTGTCCTTGGTGCAATTTTTTCTTCAAAAGTGAAGAAACTGGTGGCGAGTTTAAGCATCCTTCTTTAACCTGTGAATAGTATCTAAATTAAGTAAAAATAGAAATTATATCATTTGTATTACTAAGAAACACATGATTACTTTTTAAAAAATAGAAATATTTTTTTCTTTACTCCCTGAGACCTGCTGATATTAGGCAGGTATTGATAGACAGGAAGGTAGTTAGGTAGGTAGTTAGGTAAGTAGATAGTCAGTCAAAGAGATAGTCAGTCAAAGCCATGCTGGATCATATGTTTATGGCTATGGTACTGAAAAAGAGAGGTTGGATTAGAAGTTAGAAATGGTAGATGGGTTAACTATGAGTATACGCTTGAAATCTCTCTCGACTTTTTGTTTTGGTTCTCTCCATCTCTCAAGTTCCAGGTTGTCCTGGTGGCCAAACTTTTATTTGTACTGCTGTTAAATGCACGTTAGTCATAATCAAGCAACTACCAGATGGGGACTATGGATGGCAGAATTAGTAAGCTCATGGTGGACACATTGGTTGGAATTGTCTTAGTCCTGCTTTGCCCACTTGGATTTAGCATCAATCTAGACTTGAGAGCCATTACCCACATAGATATTTCATCTTCTGCATAAGGAGACCTGTTCTGTTTGGTATCAGTTTCAGCATTGGTAGCATCTCAGCATTTCAGCATCTGAAGTGGCTCAAAGGGAGAGAATAGGGATACTGATAATAGAGTGCTCATCCCAGTGTTTGGGAGTCTTTCTGCCTGAGCAGTCCAAGGTAGTGTTGGAAATCTTCACTATTCACTATTCATGGTGAGGTACTCTCTTGACAAAATCTCCCAATGCATGCCAACAAGATAATCATGCAACTGTTATATCTGAGGCTTGATTTTTATACCTGTCGGCATACAAGGATGGTCTAGAGATAGCAGGAGTACAATCCTGCTGATTCTCCTGGATTTCTCAGTGGCTTGTAACACCAACCACTATAGAATTGTACTGGAAGCATGGACTTAAGTGGTTCTGCTCTTATTTCTATGTGTGTGTGTAATTGTTGAAAGTGACCCTAGAAGCATTGTGTTAATTGATATGGCTGTTCATCTGTGAGGTTGCCACAAGACTCTATTTTGCCGGAAATGTTGCCTAAGATAGATAGATAGATAGATAGATAGATAGATAGATAGATAGATAGATAGATAGATA